AAAACAAGAACTAATACCCGTTTTCTTTGTAAAGTATAACTTTGTTTAAAAAGCTTGACCACCAGACGTTGCTTCGTTTCGCTCTAATCCAAAGTGGACGAGTATTTCTTTAAATTTTGCTCTTTCGAAAGCGAAAAGTCAATGTTATTATCGTTTTCTTTATTTGTATTCGGCAGAAATAGTAAATGGTTGCAATGCGAAACAAACAACAGCTATAAAGTATTGTAAAAGCGAGCAAATAAAGGCGACAATGTTAAAACATACACGCAAAAACCGATTTTGTACCGAAGCGTACCGGATTAGCCTGTTTACACTGCTCCGGCACATACCGGATTACTTTTCATATCACCTTCAAAGCGGAGTGATTTTTATGCCGCGTCGCGTACCGGATTACTGCGGCGTAGTGTAAACAGCAGCCGAATCCGGTATGAAAATCGCGACGCTCCGATACAATCCGGTATAGTGTAAACGGGGCCTATAACTGAACAGATAACTGCAAAATGTTATCTATTTGTCAAATAGGTAATAGACAGTCTTTAATTCAACGTTTCGACGACTACTGTTACAGTCAGTGTTTATGTTTCATTTTCACTTCCTCAGAATACTAGGAAATGCTCACATAATTGGGAATGCACCACATAAAGACTATACAACTTATACAAGCCTCTGCGGAAGAAGTATATTGGGAAAAATTTTGGTTTGCTCAGTTTTAAGGCTGCAAAGAATCTCTGGCTAATTGCCGCAAGTAGTGTCGGGAATGCCAAGCTTGAGTTTCGACTGCGCATCCACAAGTACTGTCGGGAATGCCAAGCTTGAATTCTGAACGAAATATTTTGTGCGTGTTACATGCGAACACAGTCAAGAATGTGATGGCGACGTCTTATATTATTATGAAAATAAAAATTAGAGTTATAAGCTTAAAATCATGAACCGAAATTAAGACTAAATTTGAAACTATACTATAGGACAAAGCATCACAGCAGAAACTTATCTCGTGAAGACTTTGAAAGCCCAAACACTTAATTAGTTTGATAGTCTAATAGCATGTGTCCACGTGTCACACCGTTGTTTAGACTTCCCAATCATTTGCAATGTTTAAATTTTGAAATACTTTCTGATACATTAGGGCCATTTATACGGAACAAAATAAGACGCGATTTACATAAGACGCGACTTAAGTAAGACGCGAGTTTGTGGTATAAAAGGTACAAAATTCTTATGTAAGACGCGTCTTGGATAAGACGCGTCTTACATAAGAACAGGTCTTTTAGCTGTTCGGACAAAAAGTTTGGACAAAAAGTCTAACTACACATGCCAGAAACTTGAAACAACGTAAAATTTAATGCCTTGCATATTAAAACAAAAACAACCAATACAACATTATAGCTATAGCAAATAAATAAGACCAAAACCGTAGAGAACCATTTATGTGATAACTCCACTTATTTAAGTCGCGTCTTATGTAAGTCGCGACTTATTTTGTCACGTATAAATGGCCCTAATCATACATGTTAGACTTGTAAATATACTGAATTTCGAAATGCCAGAACGGATCCCAGTTAGGATTTTATTTCATTTTATGTTCTTGCAAAGTTTGATTGTTGTCTCTTGATAATTTATTATACTTTAGAATCATGAAAATATAAATAGTTGTGGAATAAAATTCAATATTTTGGATACCGAAATGTAAACAAAGCCTTTGTTTACATACGGACTGGTACCGCATCTTTAAGCTCTGCAGAGGACAATTACAAAACTTGTTTTGAAATTGCACTTCTGAGATTTATAACACCTGAATCGTTTACTATATAACGTTCAAATCCATTGAATGCTATGCCATAACAATGGCGACCTACTATAGCTATATTGTAAACATAGAGTACATTTAAAGACAATCGTTGTTTATGGTTATGTTTATGCTTGTGTTTACTTTCTTTTTCTGAATACTTGGAATTGCTCACAATTTGCACTTGTTCTCATTGGTCAGTCCAATTTATGATGAGTCGTTTGTCGCATTATATCAACTGTGGTATTTGCAAAGCCTTTTATTTCACACAAAAGTGTTCGCTATCCACGCACCTTAGTCGGTACGATTTTAGTCAAAATGCTTGTGAGGTTTTTAATTCTCCTTGTAGTTGTGCTTGGCACAGTTTACGCCCAAACATTCAACTGCAGTGGTGATTATAATCCATCAGAATATATTGGTAAACTTCGAGTTCCAATCGATTGCAAAGTTGAACAGCTGGACTGCCCAGCCTCTTGGAAGTCTGGAATACCAAAAGGCAGCGAAACATCGGCGCCAATGATTGACCAGCAATTTCTGAATTGTCATGAAGGTTTTACTTCGTGTGGATACGTCCCGATCGATCCAAAATCTGGTGAAGTCCCTGGACAAAGTGGCGTTACGATTGGTCGTGGTGTTGATGTTGGAAACAAGTCGAGGGCGTCTTTCACGTCATTGTCAAGTACAATTGTTAACAAACTTGACCCTTACTTTGGTTTGAAACGAAATCTCGCAGCTTGTGCTGTAATCGAACATCGTTTGAACCTAACACTAACGGAGGCAAACACTTTGACAGATGCTGCTACAAACGATGTAGTAAATGAAGTTTCAAAAAGATACGACAACGATAAAGATGGGAATGCGCTGGCGTTTGCATCAGTTCCTCGCGGTATTCGTACAGCCATCGTCAGCGTTTGGTATCAGTTTAATTATCCTTCTGCTTATCCAAAGTTCTGGGGATTTGTGACGAAAAATGATTGGGACAATGCGATAAAAGAATTGAGAAATTTCTACAAGAATCCCAAGGAGCAGGCTAGAGGAGATTTGATCAGACGAAACAACGAAGCAGACATAATTGAAGCGACTCTTTTGGAATGCAACCGCTCTGTTGACGTTGTTTTCTTGATAGACGAGTCTGGCAGTGTTGGAAGAACAAACTATCAAAAAAGCCTCGACTTTGTAACGAACATGATAAAAGCGTTTCCAGATGATAAACTCAGCGGAAAAGATGGTACCAGATTCGGTTTGTCCACATTCAGTTTCAGGTACAGCTCACATTTCTATTTATCAACCTACACAAGTCAGTCAACTTACCTTTCTGCAGTTAATCGCGTTTACTACTCCCGTGGAAGTACCTATCTTGGTTACGCTCTTAAAGAAATCTTAACCGATCAATTCACCGAAGAACGCGGTTTGCGTCCAGAAGTAGATGGCGTACCTCGTATTTTGATTGTTCTAACGGACGGCAAATCGGGGGACAGTGTTTCAATCCCAGCAAAGAATGTGAGAGATGAAAATATCGTTGTTTATGCGATTGGAATCGGCAATTATGATCTTGCACAACTTAAAGAGATTGCTTCTTCTGAGTCACATGTTTACACGCTGTCTACTTTTACCCAACTTGAGAAATTTATTTCCACGCTAACGGCGTCAACATGCTATGAACCCCGTTCTGCGTCCCTTAACGCGACCATTATAACCGATGTAGAAAAAGATACGTATCAGTATTTCAGTTACAAAGTGAAGCCATCTTCAAACCTCGAGATCAATGTGGTCGATTTATCTGGTAGCACGTTTGTTTACGCCTCTCGCACTAATCCTCACCCTTACGAGTACGACTACGACATTGTCTACGACCTTTCAACCCAAACGAACAAAATCATCGTCATTTCACCCATTACACCTGTACGAAATACAAAGATGAAACGGTCAGCCGACGACGAGCTCACACGACAAATCTATGTATCGGTAACTTCCGACACCAACTCGGCTTCGTTCAAGATTGAAGGCAACGAATGTAATCCCTTGAACTGTACGGAAGGAACAAATCAAATGCCTACAACTCAGCCTCCCACTACTCACCTTCCTACCACTAAGCGTCCTACAACTACTACTGCAATACCTCCTGCTACTGCAACACCAACTGCTACTGCTACAACACCGACATCCTCCGCTCGTGTTGTTGTTGCTACAAAGTTCGCCGTGGTAAGTTTTGCGATGTTGATGATGCTTTTTGAAATATATGACATTTGAACATTGTCTCGTTTGTTTCTTAAGATACAAACAGGCGAGGATCTTTCTTTATTATCATATTTCTTAGTTGTAAACATTATATAATCAATGATCATTTCACGTACGTTAATTTCAAGCAAGGCTACTTTCCAGTTAAGCATGTACGCACAGAAAAGTTCGCATCCATATATGTCCCAAAAAACCCGAAAACTATTGAAATCACCAATAACAATTTAATTGTTAGAATTTGAATGCCTTAGCACTCTGTTGGTTCCCACGAGTGCATAAATGATCAGTGGCGGCGCCAGGCTTCCAAATTTGGGGGGCATTTGAGGGGCAAACTCAAATTTTGGGGGGCAAGATAGAATTTTTAAAAAGGTCCCCCCCCCAGGAAATTCGCCCCCCTCAAAACGTGGCGATATTCCTAGGAATATCGCCCCCGGGGGGCGAATATCCTAGGAATATCGCCTCCCAGGGGGGTGGGGCGAATACCCTAGGAATATCGCGCTCTTTAGGACATTCGCCCCCCATATATGCGATGTGGTTTATTCAAATAATTTCGTGATACTTTCATCTTATTAGTGCCTTACACGTTTGAGAATTTAACTCTGCAAAACTAAAGCTTTTTTGTCTTTTTTTTTAACGTATTATTGGAGTATTCGCAAGTTTTACCATTCAGAGACTTACAAACTAATATTGAAACTGTAAAAAACAGTTTCATGTATACGCGCATTCACTAATGAGTAATGACAACTTATAAGCCATACATTTTCCGATAACGACAAAACGCTTGTGTAGCATTTAGTCGCTCTTAGTGATTAATAATTTTTTTGGAGGGGGGGCAAGGCCAGGAGTGACTAAGGCCAGGAATGATCAAACTTCAAAGAAAGCTATTTTTTAAAATTATGAAGCAAATTTTGAAAAATGTTATTATCAGCATTCCAAACGATATGTGATTCGAAATAAAAGTGACAAGTACTTGCGTTAATAAAAAATAAAACATCGTTTGCACGAAGGTATGTGGCAAGTTTTATATTCTCAACTTGGAGGCTTTTAATTTTCGGTATAATATATCATTTATAGACCTGGAGCGAGGGGAATTCGGCGAAATATTACCCGAAGCGATGATATTTCCATCAAAACAAAGCCCCTCGTGTTACACGTAATATGAATGTAGCTCTTCCTTTTGGAAAACTCTTACATGTATAAGAAAGAACTGTATTTCAGGTTTAAAAAGTGAATAAATGAAATTATGGGAAGCGAAAGATACTGTAGAGTATTAGATTATGTTCTACTGTAAAGTCAGTTAATCGAAATTCTTTCGATTCTCTAGTCTATAAAATAGAGCATCGTCAATAATCTTGAAAACAAAACATACAATACCTGTCTACACGTGGATCACTTGCTAACCGTGTTACGTTATCAAACAGTTCATCAGTTTGATTGAGTGAACTTCCGGTCAACTAAAAATGCAAATATAGAACGGGTTACAATTCCATTCAGGTCTGACGTTTCTGATTAAACAACAAAATGTGAGTAACATCTTCCTTCCCTGTAGTTTAAGGGACCGGTTATAAAGTATTTACTAGGGGGTGTGGAGGATATTTTTGGGGGGTATGAAAAAAACCCAGAACCTCTGAGGGGGGGGTACGAAAAAAACAATAGAATCTCTAGGGGGTACCAAAATCTTAGTACTATAGGTACGGGAAAAAATAATTTTATAATTATTGTTGAATATTGAAGGTATTTGTGCCCAGATTTAAGTTTGGAAAGAATTGTTTTACTATAATTATTATTAAATCAACACAAAGTATATATGTTTCAGTCTGACTCAATATGTTTCAGTCTGAGTACAAATCTGAACCTGTTAATGATTGGAGGGGGGGGTATGAAAATTTTCACTTACATTGAAGGGGGTTACGAAAATTTTTCCATAGGTTTTTGGGAGGGTATATATGTACTTGAACTTTGTACTTGAAATTTCATTTATCCTCCACCCCCCTCTTCTCTCTTTTTTTTTGCCGTGAAACTCAATTTGCACGCTACTCGTAGACTAGATCTTGAAAACGAGAACATCGAACTTGTTGTTATAGAACTTGCTATTGAAAACAGCAAAACTGCTCTCCTATACACCTTCTACCGCCCTCCTGATTCCGGCCCTGATGTCTTTCAACACCTGAATTTATCACTTCAAAACACCTCCGAGTCTACCTGCATCGTCCTTATTGGAGACTTTAATCTTCCAGCAATCGACTGGTCTCTTGATCAACCAACTCCCGCAACTAATGGTGGGCAGCTCGAAGAGTCATTCTGTGACTTAGTTGGTGATAATTTCTTTCAACAGTTCATCAAAGGTACAACCCACACTGGAGGAAACATGCTTGATCTTCTGCTATGTAACTGTCCTGAGATTGTCAAAAATATTTCAACATTCTCACCTGAGCAACTAAACTTCCCGACGGACCATCACATCATAGAATTTCAAATTCAGCAAACTTTCTGTCGCGCCAAACCAGTTTCGCGTAATGTCTTCGCCTTCAACCGTGGGAACTTTGATGATCTTCGTAGTAATTTAATACAGGAACCATTCCAAGCAGTCTTTACTAACAACATTAATGAATGCTGGATACAATGGAAAAGTTGGTTTTTCAATGCAGTACATAAATTCATCCCAACAAAAACAGTTAAGGACACGTACTCAGCACCCTGGATTGATGGTGAAGTAAGATCACATATCCGAAAGAAGTACGTAGCTTTAAAAAAATATCGACAATGTCGAACTGACCATAGAAAACGGAATCTACGCGAACTAAGTCAAACAATAAAATATCTAGTGAGAAAAAAACATCGTGATTATCTAGATAAAATTAAGGACTCGTTTCGCGATAACCCGAAATTTTTTTGGTGTTATCATAAGGCCATATTTCATCATAAATCGACTCTCAATCCCGTCATCTCCTACAAAGGCAAAGTGGCAAAAACGTCTGCCGAAAAAGCTGAACTCTTTAACTCATATTTCTCTTCCGTTTTCCAATCTTCTCAATCTAACCATCCTAGGAGTCATGCCTTCGATTCTTCGCAATTAAAAACCGACTTACAACTTAGAGAAATAACCGTTGACGAGGAAGAAGTCTCTAACCACCTGGCCAATCTAGACGTGACAAAAGCAAGCGGTCCTGACGGTATTCCTGCGCGGCTTCTGAAAGAATGTCATCAACAAATTGCCCCAAGCCTGTGTGTCCTTTTCAACGCCTCTCTCAAATCTGGTTTTATTCCATCGGAGTGGAAATCGGCAAATCTGACCCCCATACATAAAAAAGACTCGAAAGAACCAGCAGATAACTATAGGCCAATCTCGTTATTGCCTATCGTTAGCAAGATCCTGGAACGCTGCGTTTACTCAAGATTTTATGACCATGTTGCTCACCTCATCAGTCCATCCCAACACGGCTTTCTCAGAAATAGATCCTGCGTCACCCAACTCCTGTCTGTCCTCCAGGTCATCGGACAAGATCTAGACAGAAACACTCAGACTGATGTATTGTACCTCGACTTTGCCAAGGCATTCGACTCTGTAGATCACACGATCCTCCTAGCTAAACTTCGTTGTTACGGTGTGACTGGCTCAGCTCTTGATTGGTTTGTTAACTACCTTAATGGTAGGACACAAAGAGTCGTTATGGATGGTGCGACTTCGAAATGGTCTTCCGTTACTTCCGGTGTGCCTCAGGGAAGCATTCTAGGACCCCTGTTGTTTGTAGTATTCATCAACGATCTACCCGACATCGTAGAAGCCCGAACCGGTACAGCTCTGTATGCAGATGACACCAAACTGCACAAAACCATTACCTGTAATCGTGATTGTGCGTCTTTACAACACTCTCTATCCAATCTTAATCTCTGGACTATGGAAAACAACCTCCGCTTCAACGTCTCTAAGTGCAAAGTTCTCACCATCACCAGAAAGAAAAATCCTATCATTCATGACTACACTCTTGGGAGCCAAAACCTGACTCGAGTAGATAGCGAAAAAGATCTTGGAATTACCACCACATCAAAACTTTCTTGGGACATTCACGCGAACACCATCGTCGCGAAGGCCAACAAAATATTAGGCGTACTTAGAAGAACTTGTACCAAATTGATGGACATGAAAATCAGACGAACTTTATATTTATCGTTGGTCAAGTCCCAGCTGTGTTATGCTACAGAGGTATGGTCGCCGGTTAACAGCGTCCAGATTTCAAGACGTGTTGAAAAAGTGCAAAGAAGAGCTACTAGGTGGATAACAATGACAAAGCGAGGAGAACTGTCGTACAGAGAACGGTTATTAGCATTAGATCTGCTACCGTTAACCTATGATCGAGAAGTCAGAGACTTGGTGTATTTCTTCAAATCATTGTTTAGTTACATTGACGTCAATATCGATAACTATGTGTCGTTTGTGGGCCATGGTCGTACTAGACTGAGCCATATGTCAAGATATATCCTTCAAAGTAAACTCTGTAAAACTAATACTTTCCAGTCTTCATACTACAATCGTGTTGTAAAGATTTGGAACACAGTGTGCCAAGAAATCTCACCTGACATTTTCCGTAATCCAAACTCTTTTAAACACTATCTTAAACGTAGATACTATACATTAATTAGTAATGTTTATGACGTAGACATGGCTTGTACGTGGTCATTAAATCGTGACTGTCCTTGCCATAGGACTTAATACCACAAGTAATATATATGTGTGTGTGTGTGTAATTAATTAACTATATCAAAACTAATTACGGGGAGCACCTCGCATGGGACTTTTAGTGTCCCGTTTGTGCTTTTCCGTTTGAGTGTATCTACTAATTTGTGATTTGTGACGTGTGTTTTGTCTTTCGTTTGTCAAGTTTTTTATCTTTGTACCTGATATAGTACGTATGTAGATTGCTCAATAAATTCATTAATTAATTAATTAACTCATTCGCGAAAGCCTTTTCATATCCAAGCTTAATCCTACTTTAAATGCTAACATTAGGTCAACTCCTCTTGACCTTTTCTAATGCTTTGCTAGGTCTCTAATTACTATAAACCATTATTTCTTTAATTTACTAATACTATTGCTTTTAATGACAGGTTGTTTTTCATCCTTCCTCTTATTCGCTTATTTGAATGCTGTAACCGTTTGAAACTATTTGTATATATATAATACACGCTTGTAAATAAGTTTAATTGCTCTGAAGATGTTGTGAACAATACAACGAAACGTTAGCCAATAAATTTTATATTTTGTTATGTCTTGTCTGAAAGTCATTTGCTGGGCTTTAATTTTCATTTTTAAATTTTGTCACTATCAAACAAATTCGCTCAAAATGAATGATGAGCACGAGATTTGCCCACAACAACACCCATATAGCTTTTCTACTGATTGTGCTTAGTCGTATTAAAGATATACAGCTTTTAGGGCTAAATCATTACGCATACATGATGCAGAAAGCGGTTGGTCCTTTGCATATCATACAAAATGAAATATCTTCGAAAGGAAACAAGAAAACAAAAATATATCAAACAATTAGTTACTCAACAGTTTTCATTGATGTTTCAAATTAGCCAAAAGAATAACACTGTCAATTTTCAAGTCATATGCCCTTTAAATAAGGAATCGGTACAAATTATCTTATTTTACAAATCGCATTGTTGTTTCCAAAGGACAGTGCTATAAAACATTGAAACGCATTCACACGACAGCGTTTAAAATATTTGCTGCAGAAACTTTATTGCGAGAGAAAATCCTCTAAGATTTAACATGTCGTCATTATCGAATATCGACATTAGCGGTATCCAACGCGGGATACTCATTGTGGTTTTTACCTATTTAAAATTGGCCGTTGGTTGGCATAACCCTAGCCACCATGGCAGGCTTATTGAGTTAGGGTTGGATGCCGTTCAGGGTAGCATGACGCAGATTTAACTTCAGTATTGACAAATTTAAATTTAGTTTTGTTGACGGTTTCTGAGCTGAGGAGAAACACTGTTAGCAGAACCACTGTCAGCGGGGTACATATCTGTAGGTTTATAAATTTTCAAGTGTTTTTACAACCATTTCAAAAACACTATCGGGTATTATGGTTGAAATAAAAGTAATCCGGTAGCTTTCATTACGAGCGTTCCCCGTATCGTTCTCCGTCCGTCTTCCAGAACTGCTGTGTTTTTAGAAATATCCGGTGTCTGTATGTCCGCGTTTGTGTCTCCATACCCGCGTCACAGAATAAGAAGGTACAGCCCACATGCACTATTGCTTTAAATTAAGGGCATTAAAATAGCCTGCCAACTAACGAAATCCAAAATCATTTAATAGTCCTGATAAACATTGGATTTGAGATTTCCTGCAAGACTTTGCGATATTTTTGGAGTCAAAATCGTAATCTAAACTTTATATATCATGCATACACCTAATAACATTGGCATATTGTTCAAATTCAATTCAATTGTACCTGCTCTCTTGTGAAGAAAGGAAACAATTGACTTGATGTTACATGTACTTCTTTATAGATTTATGGAAAATGGGAATGTGAAAGCAATTTTTTCTTGAACTATATGCCACATGCTCAGAACCTAATATACGATAAAAGTTTATCATAATGTCCGATCAGTAAGGAGCATGTCACCGTATAGATTATATCGTAGAAGCTAACTACTCGAGTTTCTTGTTAGGCTGCATGATGTCTATGATGCCCCTATAAAAACGTCCCGCACAGGTTTTTTTGAGAAAATAGTAATGAATACAGTGATATTAGTTCAAAATAGTTGTGTTTAACAGTTAATTTAGTCCATTATGATTACAGTTTATTGTTTGAGGTTTACATTATACATGTGTAAATACTGTAAATAACCAAATGAAGACACGCTATAGGATTTTAATCCAATTCCATATATGCAATTTTAATTTATTTTTTAATTTTTTTATTTAAAACTTTATTCCGTGAGGGTAACATTGACAGTAAGTAAAACTACTGATAAATTCGTTGCCCTCCCCATAATGAAACTAATTTACAAATCATGAAGATATATTAAAACCTAAAGCTACAGTATATGTATGATTTACGTATTTTCAAATATCCGCCCAATCAACCAACCGACCTAAGTTGGCTGCCCTTGTCGAAACAGTCTCTTATAAAAAGGACATCTATTATCTATAACTTTTGAATGGCTAAAATACAATCTATTTCATCCCAGAACATTTAAGCTATAAATACTTGTTTTAACAATATGAACATGGTGTGCCCAAAATACATCAGAGAGTCTGAAGGTGGGCGCACTTTCACCGTTAGAACTACTAAAGACTGGAACGCGCTTGACGTCTCTTTACGCAAAGAGAAATCTATATCTTTACATTTAAACGTAGATTTTATAACCAAATTCTAAGGGACCAGAAGTCCGCCATGCGTTTAGAAATTGCTTAGGTGGGTACGGTGGGCCCATGCAGTTACACGATACCGGATTCGCATCAGAAGGACATTAAATTTTACTGCTTCGAGGTGAATTTGGCACTTAAAATTATGATAATATAACATTTTTAAACAAAAATTTTAAATATGAAAACTTGTAAAAGTATACAAGACTGGAAAACACCTTAAATTTAAATTAATGTCGCTCCGATACAAATCTGGTATCGTCGATATCACAGTGTAACTGGAGCCTTAGATTGTTAAAAAGTTCGATCGAAGGTGTTCTCCTTTCAGCTTCAAGAATAATTCTAGCCGCCATCTTTTGAAGTTTCAAAAGTCTTTAATTACATTCAATATTACAGCTGTCCCCAACCACCTACCATACACAAGGGTGGGCTTGATAACGCAAGTATAGAATGTCTCTCGTGATGTTTCTTGAGATAAGGACTGATATATGCTTGAGCAATCCTACCGTTTTGAAACCTTTTTCGCTAGTTTCTCGACATGCGATTCTTAACTTGTATTAAGCCGGTTTTCCGCTTTGAACACTATTGGGACCTCCTTTGCTCCTCCCCTCTTGGTTACGCCAGTGACTAAGGCGCTTCTCGCCTGTCTAGATTTGTTCTATAAAAGCATTTGTCAATTTTCTCATATATGAATAGCATCATAACAACATAATCATATATGGTAATGTAATGACGAGCCAGGCAAAATTTATTGTTAATATAGAGACATGGTAATAAAAATTCAGTTTGGTCTCATTTGATAAAACATATGGCATAAAAAGTAGTTAACATAGTTGAAAAGCTAATCAATCAGAATCGCGTATTTCAAAGTTACTGTAACTACCGTGAAACTACGAAACAGATAGCTAAGAAGCATGTAGTTAAGAGCTTAATACAACTGACCCTAAAGCAATATTCTGTCCCAAACTTTCACCGATTTGAAACTTTTGATATCCGTATTTCTTTGCGTTTTATTTTTTGCGCGTTTAATCATCGATTCCCTTGTCGAGTTTTATCCTTTTCCGCGTTTTATAGGGTATTGACGTCATGGAAAAGGTCATATGATGTGAAAGATAAACGACATTTATTCAATTTTCATCAGACCGACTAAAAGTACAGTGTGCATGTTGTTGGTATTAAGAACATGTAAGAACGTAAATATGAATCAGGTAAGCGATTTAGGGGTAATATACATGTATTATCATTCCTTTTATGAATAAATGTAAAATATATAATCTGTTTATTAACATCATAATATCAGCTGCGCATTTATATTCCTGATAACTGGCCGAAGGCGAAGTATTGTGTCAGCTGAGGAACACCGTAAATAGACTAGCAATTACTAAATATATACAGGACCCCTATTGTAGTGAATATTGAGATCTGAACTCGCAATCACAGAAGTTTACCTCACAGATACAGTTGATATTAAAGTTGCCCAGTCTATTGTTGTTTTATATATTATTAAGGTATATGCGTAACGTTAAAATCAACTTCATAGTCCTCTACTTAAAAATGTTAATAAGCTCAATGACATTCACACGGTTTATGGTTCAAACAATAATTCTGTCATTTATTTTATTATATTTTCGCGATTTTGGCACTTTCGCTTTTAAGGAATTTTAGGGAAAGTCCCTGAAACAACAGGAGGTTATAGCTAATTAATTTCATCTTCATTTCTTGAAGTTTAATGTCTTTAATGTCAATTTCTTTGCAAATTACTTTCTTGTGAATTGATATCGATTACACAACCTTGTTTTCTTCTCATAAAACTTTCATATTTTCTTTTATTTGACGTTTTCGGAGTATCGTTATTTGTGCGTTGCCACAGCAACTCAATTTGATTAAATATTTTGGTATTCCAGCATTTAATTAAACGCAATGTTGATATACGGCTCTACGACATCTGTTCTATAAAAGCATTTGTCATTTTTCCAGTTTGGACCTACTTTTTTGCTTAAATACAAATTCAGTCTTTTAGAAGCATTTTGATATATATTTGACCATAATGCGATGCATAGAAGTTGCCAAATTTGACCTCTGAAGTTGGTTGTCGTGTGCGAACTTCTCCGCCGCCATATTGATGCCGTGTGACGTCATATGATGATTGGAACGAAGATATGAAGGCCGCATTTGTAGTAAATTATATGGCGCTTCAACATTTCACAGTGCAATTTTTGCCTATTTTATTTGCTTTTGGCGCAGCTAACTAATTTTCAAAAATCGAAGAACAAGTGCTATATCTTACTGTTCATTTGACGGCGGTATAACGATTAGCGACTCAAATAATAGGGTCAGAACTGCATCTGAAAGTAAACTTTTAATATGGACTCGGTCAAGTCGGTTTTGAAATACGATGATGAACCAGTTGTTTAGAGATATTAACGCTGCTGCAGATACGTAACTATACCATCTGTGTTGGAACAATTAAGCGATGGTACAATATAAATTCCTGGTAATTAAGTAGCCGGATCTTTTTTTGCGCATGTATATTGTATTGTGCTCGCCTCGGCATTGTGTCTGATTCGGTTTGAACACACAAGCATATTCATAGCTCATTCGCAATACTCAAAATGATTTTGATTTTCTTTTTAATAGTTAGGTGTAGTTGACAATTATGCGATGTGGTTCTATGATGGCTCGTTTGTTGCTTGGATGGCAAAACCGAAGAAAATAATTTCCAACAACAAAAACGCATGCAGCCTTTCGTTTGACCAGAAAAGCGGTCGAGTTTAGTTGGATTAGGCAGATTATGACTGAGACAGTTGATTTAACCGTTGAGTAAAAATTGTGCATCTATAAAATTATATCACATTTACAGTAATATTTGGAAATTATATTTAATCTTCAAAGTAGCTAGTTAAGTTGCATCCCTCATGTTTTGTGGACAAATATGTTTCTCACATAACAGCGTACCAGTACAATATTATATTATATTATTGTATCATTATATTCAGGGACGTCGCGAAGCCATCAACATTGGGTGGGGGAAGGGGGGTTGTCATGTTTTGACCAACATTTCCTAGGATTTTGACCAAGTCGTACAATTTTTTCTCGTAAACGTTGTCGACGGGGAGGGAGGGAGGTTAAAAACATTCCGGACTAAAATAACCATAGTCGAAAAAATATTTCCGGACTAACATAAGCATATTCAAAATTTTTCGACCAAGATAAGCAAGATTTCCACCGCAAACATAACAAAAGCTTTTTTCACCGCAAACATAACAAAAGCTTTTAAATTGTCAGAAGTCTTGATGAAAGTAGGTCAAGGCATGTTGATTTGTTGCCTTTATTTTAATCTCAAAATGTTCTGGACAAGAAACTAACTTAACAGGAGATAGTCACTTTACAATCACAAATGATCTAAAACATAAGAAATGTTAATGACTTTAGACTAACAATATAGCGTTATTCGCGCCAAATATTCACCATGTCATTTGTCAAACATATTAAGTTTTACTTCACTAACCTGAATTATTGCATCAGTGCTTCTGTTAGTTGTACTTTAGCCATGGGAACAATTAGCCATGTAAATGGTATAAACAGTTTTTCCTTCAGAATTTTTTTCATTTTACGAGGTTTTGTCAAAATAAGATATAACACGAATCTTCAAAACGGACTCAATCAAAACACTAGTTTCGCAGATGCGTGAAAACTCAGTCAATATTTAAAGATAAACTTCACATACTTTCTTTCTCTCTGCATGTGGATCTGTTTCTTTTTTGGGAAATAGATGCATGGGTATTCCTTCAGACTGTTCAGAATTCTTTAGAACAGTTAGAACTGCCAGAAACACAGCCTTCGTCTCCGCGTTTGTTGGTTCACTATAATTTTAATACGCCATGATAAAATTGTGTTCTTCTGATGACGTCACATGGCATCAACATGGCCCACAATCTCGTACCCAGAGCAATGCCTGTGCGCGGGCTAGGATGGCATTGGCTCTGGGGAAATTGACAACCGGAACCCCTAAATTTAGGGGCTCCGGTTCTTTGTCGGCATGCACGATTGATAAACGTTAAACCAATCAAAGCACAGGAAAAATTCAATTTCCCCAGAGCCAATGCCATCCTAGCCCGCGCACAGGCATTGCTCTGGGTTAGAGATTGCATGGCCCATAAAAAGTTTGCACAGGAAGTGCTAAAAATAGCTACTTTGGAAGGCTTCGCTAATTTTAATTTTTGTGATTAACAGGTTAGGAAGGAAAGCACTTTTAATTAAGCTAAAAAAATGGGGGTCGAAAATTCCGTTGCAGCAGCACTTTAAGAGCTTTATACAACGGTCCCCAGAACAATATTCCATGTACCAAACTCTCACCGATTTGAAACCTTTGATATCCGCTCACCGCATTTTATCCCTTTCGCCGCGTTTTATCCATTTGTTTGCATTTTAATTTTTGCGTGTTTTATCCTTTTGCACGTTTAATCTATTTTCTGCGTTTGTTCGATCCTTTTACCATTTCTGTGTCTTCTCCCAACCCTACCTATTACCAAATATTTGTTCAATATAATCCGGTTCGACAGAAAAGTTTAGGACTGCAAACCTGCATATTTGGGAATTATAGGATATTGACGTCGTGTCACTTGGTCGTAATGCCGTCATATGACGTGAAAGATAAACGCCATTTATTTCATTTTCAGACCGACCAAACTGACCGTGTGTTGTTTGTTAAGAACCTATAATAACGTAAATATATCTTCTTTTGAACCAGGTAAGTGATTTAGCGGTAATATACATGTATTATTATTCATTTCTGTTTTGAATAAATGTATTTATTTTACTATATATTTTCGCAAGTTTTGCGACCGTGTCTGAGGTATTTTAGGAATGTTTCAGAGCAACAGTGGGTTATAGCTAATTATATTCATCTTGATTTTTTAAGCTTTAATGTCAATTATAGCCTTTTCTCACGGCCGATTTTTCGTCATTTTTGGAGTACTGTCCCTACCACGTTTGAGAGTATCCGCACGACGAAATACAACTTTTTGCTATTGTAGTTGTCTGCATAATGGTAAATTTTCGGTTAAAACTTTTAAAAGTTGCTTTTCACGTTGTTTGAATTGTCTCGAATCTTTCACGAGGGCAGACAGTACCCCCAAAATGTCGGATTTAATTTGGCCCTCCAGAGAAAGACTAAGCCGCTAATTTTTTTGCGAATTTATTTCCTTATGAATTGCCATATCGATTACACAACTTTGTTTCTTTTTGGTAAAACTTTCAGGATTTTCTTCTTTTGAAGTTTTTGGAGTATTGTTATTTGTGCGTTGCGACAACAACTCAACTTAAATATTAAATATTTTGACATTCCAGCATAAATTAAATACTTGGTTTATAAGCTATAAAAGTATTGTTAATTTGATCTGGCAAATTTCAGTAATTTTAGTATACATTTCACCAAAGACTTAATTAAACTGTAAATTAATTAATTCAAATATGTATATCAAGAATAAAATGCATGCATACAACATATTTGTCCCCGAGCCGACTGCGCGAAGCGCCGTGCGAGGGTACTAATTCCGACCGGCTATTTACACCCGGGGAAAGGAACGCACTAGCGAAGTCTAAAGTTCATCAAATTTCGTGGGCGAATGGCTCACCGTCACCCTCACTGATCTCAAAATATGTAGCGGACTGTCATGACTAGTGAACCCTGATTGGTCAAATTTGAAATTTGCATATAACGACTGTATCATAACTGTATTGACGAAAGCGAAATAACAAATATTTCTTGTAAATTGTGTTTTTGCAAGATTTTGATAATTTCAAAACCCTTCTGAGAGCCAAAAAAACGTCTAAAAATGTCTAAAAGAATAGAGTAAAGTCACCGACGTTAATGAAGGTAAGTTTGTTTTAAATATTGATGTATTGTTTGTTTTATAATTGATATATTGATAGTGGTGGGCGATACTGCGAATATCGAACTGATACTATCATTGCGTATATAAGTGAAAAAAGACAGCACACCAGTATAATTTCAGTGTGTAGTTTTATTAATTACCCTTTCTTTTGTCTATTAAAGTATTTAAATAAAGAGGAAAGCAAAGTTATTTTCATACGAGAATTTGAAATCAGTTTATTTCAAACTCAATGTTTACCGATAATTCGATAAAAGGCAGTTCAGTTTTAAGAACATTTTAAAACGTTTTGCGAAGCGTTTGTGATTGAATTTTACACTAAATTGAAGCTTATATTACATATAATAACATACGTAGAATAGATATGTTTGGGAAATTGATAATTTTGTTATTAAAAGTGATATTTTGGGGGATTTTCCAGTTTTAAAATTATTCTTAAAATTATCGTGTTACCATGACAACTACTTTTAATTCTTCATATTCAGGAAACATAACGTTTTGTCAGAAAGGCGAGGGTTTCTGCAAGCATGTATTTTCTACTAATATTTTAATTTGCGGATAGGTAATAGGACCTCTACATGCTCTCTCCTCCGCAGAGCCTCCTTAAGTATTTACTAATAACTTACATGAAGTTTCGGGAATAAAAGTGAGCGCGCGCGGTGTGATGGGAAGATTGAAATGAAGTTGGGGAGGCTCTGCCAGATAATGCGACGAAGTATGGTTTCTGAACCAAACTAATTGTTTGACTTTTTTAAACTTGAAATCGACGGAAATGTGAAAGAAATTGTAATGAATCTTCATAATCTGGGCCGGTTGTATAAAAACGTAATAGCACTAGCTGCAGTTAAAAAGCGGTTAAAAAGCCTTAAAAAATAGTTAACTTTAATCACGTAGTTAAGCCGGTTGTATAAAAGTGTAGTTAGCCTTAACTGCAGTTAAAAAGTAGTTAAAGTTAACTATGCTTTAGTGTATAACATTTAGTGAACAACATTTTTCAGTAAAACAATAATGAAAAGCAACGCTTACCTGAGATTTTCAATGGCTATCTTCCCTGTGAATGTTTCCTGACTATATAAACTCTTCAAACGCTATCGCTTTGGTGTTTTTACGAAAACAGAACATATTTTTGCACAGGACAATTTCTCGAAGACGAAGTATGGTCCAATACACCAAGAAACACTGATATATAATTGCCAAACAGCTAGACCTTGGTTTAACGTAGACATCTCAAGAAAAAACTGCATTCTTTTATGATTTTTGTGGCGGTTTTTCCTTGTTTTCTTGTCTATTTTTCATTGTTTTCTAGTGTTTTGAATAAAATTCCCGCCTATTTGCAAAATACGAGTCTACAATCATGTTAAAAATGTGTGTCAGCGGTCGTTACTCGCTGCTTACTTTATGTAATTTTGTGTTTAAACACCGCACGCAAACGCCACGCACAGTTAACTACGTGATTAGTTAACTATCCGACTAACTACGTTTTGTGCAACGCAGTTAAGTCATGTAGTTAACTAATTACAGTTAAGGATTTAACTACAGTGATTAACGCTAACTACAGTTAGCACTAATTACGTTTTTATACAACCGGCCCCTGAGTATCGAAGTTCAACAGAGTCATTTTTATAAAGAAATGTTGCAACTAAGAGGATATTTATAATCAGATAGCTCGTATCCATTGATATTCCCTTGCAATTTCTCCATATTTTTCGATGCAAATGGACAGAAGAAGATATTGATATTGAATTCACCCCAAGATACTCAAGTACGCCTGAAAATGAAAGTCGAACTTCGCTACAAACGATTATATACGACGCCATATTGATTGCATTTATGCATTAACTCGCAGAGGCTTCCTTTATTTAGCTCTTCCCATCACTCCTTGCGCGCTCACTTTTCCCTCACTAGAAACTTCATGTAATCCTCTGCGGAGGAGAGAGCCTCTACATGTGTCTTGGACGTTTGGTTTGTGATTTACTTATAAGCATTATTTGTTTAATGAATTTCTTATATATTTTCAACGGGGTCTGGAAACTAGACCATACTGTGAAAGAGGTCGGCTATTTTGCGAGTCTGCTAGTCATGCGAGTCGTGCGAGTCATGCGAGTTTTGCGAATCGTGCGAGTTTTGCGAGTCGTGCGAGTTTTGCGAATTTTGATCAAATGCAGGTGGTCATCATAGGTGTGTGCCAGTTTCAAAAAGCTGTCATAGTCTGTAAATCATTAAATGGTCTTGCTCCTGATTACATGCATTCCATGTTTGTAAACCGTGACTGTGTTAATCCTTATTCGCTGAGAAACATTGAGAACAAATTAGCTGTTCCCAAGCCCGGCACAAACTTCATTATTTTTAACTAATGCTTGTCACATTCTGAATAAATGGATGAGCTCAGCTCAGTTGCGGAAATTAATGATCCTGACCTTATATGTATTTTTAAGACCTGGCTAGATCCCAGCATATACGATGGAGTTATATCTATTGGACTTAACTATACTCCGTACCGAAAAGATAGAGGAACACTTGGCGGCGGTTTAATTACTTATGTTAAAACTGCAATACCTTCTAGCCGCTTGTTTGACATGGAAGAGGAAGGCAAAGAGGCTCTGTGGCTATTGTTGAAACCACAAAGACTTCCAAGGCTTTTCAGTTGCATTGTTATGGTTGCAGTTTATTATCCGCCAGGTCAAGCGCTATAAATGAGATAACTATGATTGATTACCTTATTAATGGAATCGACTTTATTCTACAAAGCTATCCCTCTGCTGGAATTATAATCGCTGGAGATTTTAACAAAATGAAATTAGGAACATTATGTAATTGTTTTGATTTGAGGAAAATTGTTAAGAAACCAACTCGCCAGAACAATACTTTAGATCAGATAATGACTAATATGTCGCCACTGTTTCAAGAAGTGCAACATCTTCCTCCCTTAGGTCGATCGGATCACCAATGCCTCCTTTTGAATCCAAAACATCGGACGAGTACACGCCCAATAACTAAAACATTTCGATCGATGAAACGTTCAAACTTAATAGCTCTCGAGCTAAGACTAAGCAGAACTGTCTGGGATGCAGTATACGAAGCAGAAGACGTAGATGACAAAGTCTCAATTTTCAATGGAGTTATTAGTCAAGCTCTAGACGGATGTATGCCTCTGAAATCCATACGCCTACATCCCACGGATAAACCTTGGATGACTCCGAACATTAAAGCAAAGATTAAGCTTAGACAACGGGCTTTTACTCGTGGCAACATGTCCCAGTATAATCTGCTAAGTGTACAAGTAGAAGATATGATTAGGAAAGCCAAATCAAATTACTATCAAAATAAAGCTAAAACATTCCGCACATCTGACCCTGCGAAATGGTACAAAGCAATTTATAATCTGTCCGGAGTAAGTAGTCAGCATGAAGGCCTAACAGTAAACTCCATGGGTAGCGAGGCCGCTTTAGCAGAAAAATTTCAAATATCCTTTACTGAACCTTGGAAAGACCTAATTACAACAAGTATTCCCCAACTAGATGAAGTTGAGTCACTTCTCAAAAACTATCCTCCCCCTCTACCTAGTATTGGCCAGATTAAGAGCGTCCTAAATCACCTTAATCACGGTGTTCCAGCATGGTTACTTAAACGATTCTCTAGCGTTCTAGCGCCAATTGTTCATGACATCATTACGGCTAGCATTAAACAGTGTAAGTATCCAAGTCATTACAAACATGGCCTGGTCACACTTGTACCTAAAGCATACCCACCAACTGACGTTAGTAACGATTTTAGACAAATCTCTGTTTTGCCACATATTGGGAAAATCCTAGAGAGAGTACAACTACAACTCAATCAAAATGACATCATACTACGTCCCAGTCAACATGGTTTTACTAGTGGCCGCTCTACTACATCGGCTCTGATATCCATCACACAGCCATGGTTTAATGCTACTGACAATACCTGCCGTGACAAAGCAGGTATCCATGCCCTCTTTATCGACTTTAAAAAAAGCCTTTGATCTAGTTGATCATGGGATCCTGTTGAATAAACATGCGTTGATGAATGTTAATAAAAGCTTCTGGTTGTGGGTCAAAAGCTTCTTATCTGGTAGAACTCAGCAGGTCAAGATAAATCAAACACTTTCATCGATCGAAGGTTGCCCAGCTGGAGTACCGCAAGGATCTGCTGTTTCGCCGACTCTATTTAATATCCACATTGACGACTTAGATACGAGTGTTCCTGAAGATCTTGAGGTGAGCACATATAAATATGCCGATGACTGCACACAAAGCGAATGCATCATGAAGGGACAGTGTAGCAACATGCAGAAAGTCTTAGACTCCGTTCAGAATTGGTCAAACGCTAATAGAATGAAGTTGAACGCAAAGAAAACGAAAGATATGTGGATTTTCTTTGGGAAATCTATCCCACAGCCTCCCAATCTTTATACCGGGGATGTTATGATCGAAAGAGTTAATTCATTCAAGTTACTTGGTGTTAGCTGTCAAAGTAACATGAAATGGAATTCTCACATCAAAGAAATTACTCGTAAGGGAAACAGGAGACTGTGTCATCTAAGGCAGTGTAGGAAGGCTCACCTTCCTACTGAAGTAGGAATGGCAACTTACTGCACCAAAATTCGTCCACTGCTTGAATATGCCGCACCAGTTTGGGGTGGCCTACCTCACTGTTTAGTGAACGACCTTGAGCGTATTCAAAGGAGAAGCTTACGTATTATTGGTTTACCGGTCGATACACTTCCCCCGCTTAGTGAGAGAAGAGATAAGCTAACTCTTCGAGAAATGGAGGCGATTACTCAGGACGTAAACCATCCCTGTCACCACCTTGTCCCTATCGTACACAAGCATGACTATTCCACCAGTTAAACTTTTTAATTATAAACTTTAAATTACTACTGTAATAGACGGTTCTGTAATTTTAGGCTGAATGTAGGTTGCATTATTCTCTGAACTGAAGAACATAATCGTCGTCTGCGCCTTTGGCAACTGAACCTTTTAAAAATACAAATTTGTATTGTAATATAGATGGTTTTATAATATTTATGAATTTGTAAGTCCACTGTATTTTTTTACTTAAGGTGGATTATTATTAAAGCTTTACATCAAAAAACTATCTCAAGAATAGCTTTAGCTATAGTGGCGCGGTGCTGTGAAACAGTCTTCCGATTGGTCTACGGTAAGCAAATAACTTGATAAATTTCCGATCGGGCTGTGCCAAATTATTTTAACTTTCTTTGTATATATTCTTATATTAGCTTAGTACACGGCCCTCATGAAAAGCAGATATTATATTTTCTATTTAGCGTGGTTCGTTTTTCCCTCGTGAAATAAAGTTTCTATTCTATTCTATTCTATTCTATTGTTCTACTTTTGTAATTTATCTAATTTAGTTTGTTACATGTTAAATCCTGATGAGAATACCATGTGTAAATAAAGTTTTAATAATAATAACAATAACAATAATAATAATAATTATAAATTATATAAAGATGCTGTAAAGTCCATTCTGCGCACAGAAAAGTGTTAGATATTCAATTAGTATATCATCTTTTACAAATATACCAGTTCAAAATGTAAACAAAGTAATTCGTTTACATTCGGACTTGTGTGTTGTGCATTGCGAAAATTAGCAGAGTTTAGTCAAAGTGTTAATGAAGCAAATTTTCTGATAATTTTCTTTCTGCCGCAGACTCTGGTGCACCTGCGCGGCGTTTAAAAACACGTCCTAAAAACCGAAACTACCGTAACCACTGAAAGGAGTTATTAGCTTTAGGCTTCATTTCCTTAAACTCTGAAAATATTTTGTTCAATTTTATAGCACAAGAAAAACCGCCGATATAGCTTTATATTTAGTTATAAGTGAGACCTGACTGGGTCTGCCTCGTCCCCAGGCGCTAATAAAAAATTCCATGCGAGTCACTATAGAAAGGTTTACATGAAGTAATAGAACGCTCATATCCCACTCCCCATTGCGCACCTATAATGTGACGCACTACTTCATGTAAACCTTTCATATAGTGACTCGCATGAATTTTTTTTATTAGCCCCCCCGGTACGAGGCAGTGACTGGGTAGTATAGTGTACCGATTTTAAATGTTCTCAAAAACATGAAGTGTTTAATATAAACCCGACCTGATTGTACTCTTTTCTCCTGTAAATTAGTCTGGAATTTCTATTGAAATTGCAGGGTTTTTCTTTAATTTAAAAACGAAGGCAATTTTACAATGACAGTTGACACAACACAGTATTAATTAAAATGCGTATGTATATCATATAGACATAATATACTTTATAGATCTAGTTCTAGTGAGTAGTGAGTATATATATTGTGTAAATAGACTAAATAATATCTTTATAAATTAATACGATACGCATTGACATTGTCGTATTTCGATGTATTACAATGCAACTCTCGTCATTTTTCTTAATAATTTCAAATATAAATTTCAAATACATGGTTATATATTCGATTATTGAATGTAGTTTCGCATAAATCTTCGTTCAGTTCCTTAATAGTTCCTTATATAGTGTTGTTTCCAATACGAGTACGACTTCGTGCAATCTAAATTTGGACTATTGCAATATATATATATATATATATATATATATATATATATATATATATATATATATATATATATATATATATATATATATATATATATATATATATATATATACCAAATATGTATTTAGAATCATATATGAGTATAGTGCTCGATATACCGAAGTATAGAGCTAATAGAGATAAATATATATATATATATATATATATATATATATATATATATATATATATATATATATACCGGGTGTCCCAAAAAAAAGTACTCCGGTTTGATTCGTAATAACTTCTAAACAAGTAAAGCTTTTAATGAGAAATAACTTGCATCAAATAGAGGAATGACTAACTTAGATTTTGATATATTACAGTTGTATTTCACTAAAAAATTCACAGAGATATTAATGTTTAAAATCGGGAGCATATTTCTGGATGTGTCTGAAATATCCAAAAAACGGCGTATCAAATATTAATCAAGATTTGCCCGACTGAAACATGCACTATTACCAGTAAATAAATGACACTTGACAAATCGTTTATTATGAAACAAAGTATTATTATCTACAAAATAAAAGCAAGATTTATTCGTCCGAAATCCGCATGTGTTCCCAGCACGAATACGTTTCCTTATTTCATGAGACCACTGCATCGCGAAGGATCGTCATGGATCGTTCGTAGTTCTGAATTAGGGCATGCTGTCACAATGGAATTGTGAATTTTCTAACTTCACATTGAATGAATTTTCTAACTTCTGCAACGTTCTGAAATCTTGTTAAGAACACCCAAACTCTTTTGCCTTTCTTAATCTTGGCAATCTCAGAATAAACTGAGAATGAAACACGATCAAACCATACAACTCCATAATTAAAGACATAACAAGCAACTCCCCAGAGACATCCAACATTTTTGGAACAAAACGTAACAAAATAGTAGCGTTGATACTGTGATGTGTATTTGCAAAAAGCAATATTATTTCCTTCATTAAATAATAATATTCATCCTGCTCTAACCGAGAAATAATCAACTTTGTTTTGAACCCATGTAAAACATAAAAAAATTAGGCTATTTAAGAAAAATTTAAGCGCCTGCCTTCAAGGTCTTTCATGTACCTTTAAGTTTGCAAAGC